TTGGGGTTCAAGTTTCAGGCTAAAGATCAGAAAAGCTAAGTACCAGGCCACTACCTCTTACCACTACCTCAGGCTGAAAGGGCTGATCCAGCTGCCTCTCCTATCCTCCGTGTGGCTGGAGAATCCTGTGATCAAATGTCTTCCTATCCTCAATGTGGCTGGAGAATGAATGTTTGATGCTACAACCTTGCTCCTGTCTTATATGCCTCCCTAATGCTAGGATTAGAGACGTATGATCCCAGGTGCTGAGATCATCTTTGTGTGAGCTGTTTCTCTTTAGGACTGGATCAATCTTGTATAGATCTGGGTGGCCTTGTATTCACAGAGATCTGTCTCTTAATCCTGAGTCCTAGGATTAAAGGTGTGTACCACCACCTCTAGCATCTGGCTGCTGGGATTAAAGGTGTGTATGCCTGGCTTCCGTGGCTTGTGGCTGACTTTGCTTTTCTAAATCCACAGGCAAGCTGTAATAAATCATAAATAATATATCACCACACTTACATGAGTGCCCTGGACAGCCAACTCAACCTTTTTCCATCCCCTGAAGTCTCCTCCACAGCCTTCTCTTTCCCTCTACTCTTGGTTGATGGCCACACATCCTTGTTCCTGTTCTGTGAAGCCTGCAGCACTGCCTGGGCTGTGACTCACTGAGGATGCTAGGTTACTTTGGAGGACTGACTTCTCTAGGCAGAGAAGTCAGGTCATTTTGTATGTGACCTTGAGAAGTCTGGTTCTCTGCCTGCACGCTCCCTGTGTTCCACTCTGCCCAACCTATTGGCGGGACAGATGAATGCACACACTGTGACAGCTTCAGAAATAGAAGGGGTGGGGGGAGGGGCAGATAGAGTGCTGAAGTGAACTTGGGTTTTTCAGGAATGAAACAGAAATGACACTTGTAAAAAATTAACAGCCCCTGGATGGGCCAGTAAAGGACTAGGCAGAGAACATTCTTTCCCACTGTGGGACACTGCTACCATCTAGTGGTAAGTCTGAAGTTGACTAATAGGAAAGAAAATCTTATTTTCATCAAGGTCCATAAAAATCTCACTCTTAAAATCCTGCTGTCTAGGGCCGGGCGTTGGTGGCACATGCCTTTAATCCCAGCACTCGGGAGGCAGAGGCAGGCAGATCCCTATGAGTTCGAGGCCAGCCTGGTCTCCAGAGCGAGTGCCAGGATAGGCTCCAAAGCTACACAGAGAAACCCTGTCTCAAAAAACAAAAAAACAAAACAAAAAAATCCTGCTGTTCAAGGGCCACACAGGGTTGACAATCACAGGAAGATTGTCATTAAGTGCCATGCACTTGAGGGGCGTTCTAATAACAAGAGATGGCAGACTGGGGTGACTACAAACATAAACCAAGCGCCACAAAACAACACTGTGGGTGAGGAGCGGTAGAGACTGCAGTACGCACATACTTGGTTTGCACCCTGCGGATTCTAACTGTCTGGGAGATGTAAGGAGTGTGTTGGATGCTATTTCCCTGGGCTATTAGGGGAAGCCTTCCTAACTCCAGTTCCAGGATCCTTTCTAGACAATGTTCAGGGGCTCACAAGGTCGGAGAGAAAAAAAGGAAATGCATTTTTGTTCTCATGAGCCTCAAGCAAGCTTAGTGTCTTCAACTATGAGCCAAGCAAAAAGCCCCGTGGGTCCTTAGGGCAAATTCAATCCTGGCCTTATCTGTGAAAGCAGGGCCACATCGCCACTAAAGTGTAAAAACAAGAATGTGTCTGCGACCATCTCCTGTGCCCAGCTCAGTGGGAAAGAATCTGAGAAGCTGCCTGGTACTGAAAGCTGAGTGAAGCAAAACTAATGTCATTTTAGAAGGATTTTTCACTTGACAGGACTCGGGGTATTTATGAACACAAACAGCTGATGCTGTGGGTGGGAGGCGTTGGGCAAAGTCAGCAGGTATGTATGTCATTTCCACACACACACACACACACACACACACACACACACACACACGTGCAAACACACACAGACATACACATATACATGCACACACACACACACACACACACACACACAGGCACATAGAGACATACACAGACATATTGCACACACAGACACATACACACATGCACACACAGACACACATAGACACATACACAGACAACACATACACATGCCCATGCACGCACACAGACACACACACACAGACACACACATGCACACACAGAGACACACATAAGACACACACAGGCACAGACACACAGGTGACCCATATGTATGGAAGAGGTTCTCTTAGTTACAAATGGTATTGAAACCAAGTTGGCCAAAGCTAGAAAGAGGTTGTTCATTAGGAGGCTGCTGGAATCCAAGGGAGAGAGAGCATAACCACCCTTGTCAGAGCAAAGGGAACAGGGTGGCTTCCGCCTCCTGCCAACAGAGTGTGAGGACATGCTTCTCAGACTGCAACAAACACGCATAACCAAGAACCCGTTAAAGCGTGAATTCTGCCTCTTCTGATCTTGGGTGGGGCCTGACACCCCACTTTCATTCCCTGTAGGCTCACACTGAGTGCCAAGGGTGCAGAGAACCGCCTTGCACGTTCTCTGCCCACACCTCCCTGTCAATATGCTGCTTTGGAGGGGGTCATCGTCCTGCCTTGTGCTAACCCTAAGCCTGTGATTGTAAGTCAGGAGGGGCAGGGCAGGCAAATCCACTTTCCTGGAAGCTGGTGGGTTACCAGCCATGGTAGTAGGCCTCTGCTTGTGGCTTCCTTCCATGCCTTTGTTCCTGCTCTGTTTACCAACACCGTCTACTCCCCACCCACTGTCTTCCACAGTAACCCAAGGTTGGATTGCTGACCCGTGACTGATGGGTTCCCAAATCCCCATTAGCCCATAGCCTACAAGACGGACACTTTGGGGGTCAGGGGTGGCTCTGTCCTGAATTTGGATCCCCGGGTCCCATGGAAAGAACTGGGCACAGCATTGGACACCTGTAGTGATGGGGGATGTCCTTCTGTATATATGTTTCTCTTATTGGTTGATGAATAAAACACCAATTGGCTGATTAGCCAGGCAAGAGGTATAGGCAGGGCTGGGAGATGAGAATTCTTGGGAACGGAGGCAGACAGAATTATCATGTGATCCTGGGAAGAAAGGACGTGCCAAGTATTCTCTGGTAAGCCAAGACCACGTGGAAATAGTTAGATTAATAGAAATGGGTTAATAATTTAGACAGAGCTAGCCAATGAGAAGCCCAAGCCACGGGTCAACAGTTTTATAACTAATACAGCGTCTGTGTGTTTATTTGGGGCTCAAGGGTGACAGGACCCTGCTAGGCCAGAAAACTTTCATTCAACACTGTATTCCCAGTGCACAGAAGGTAGAAACGGGAGAAACTGGAGGCTCACCCACGAGTCTAGGCAGTAAATTCCAGGTTCAGTGAGACACTTTAGACAAGGCCTGAGTATCAATCTCTCAGTCCACTGAAAATGGAGCGATTTTTGTTGCCTTTGAATAATTTCTTCAGGTGAGAAGATAGGTGCCTCCATTCTATCACCTTGTTGCTGTCATTAAAAATATTTTTTTTCTCTTTATTTGATGCTTGTGATGCATGCAGTGACTGAGGAGGTGGGCAGAGGGAACCGGATCCCTGGACAGGAACTCATCCAGTTTTTTAGAGACAGGGTGTTTCTGTGTAACATCTCTGGCAATCCTGGAATTTTCTCTGTAGACCAGGCTGGCCTCGAACTCACAGAGATCCACCTGCCTCTGCCTCCCGAGTGATGCCACCACCACCCACCACCACTTGTTTTAAAATGTGTCTTTATTGCTTTCTGAAACCTGCCCAAGCCCCCCTGGAATGGAATCTAATGAAACGGCGGGTACTGAAGCAGACGCCCCACACATTCTCAGGCATATCTTCTTTTCCTAGATCTAACCCAGGGAAGGTGCCACTGCTGCTGGCCTGCTGCAGTGTACTCACAGGAGCAGCAGGTGGGCGAGGGAAGTCGCCTGTCCTAACAAGTGAAATGGGTGGCGCATGCCTTTAATCCCAGTGCTCAGGAGGCAGAGGCAGGAGTTCAAGGCCAGCCTGGTCTACAAAGCTACACAGAGAAACCCTGTCTTGAAAAAACTTAAAAAAAAAAGTGAGATGTGAGTCTTTGGTCTGACTCTTCACAGCTTTGTACTTCATGACTACATGTGACCTGAGTGAGAAGTCACTCACTCACTCACTCACTCACTCACTCACTCACTCAGTATAGATATGAATGTAAGAAGTAGAGATCCTTTGATTCCTGCTCCCGAGGAGTCATAAGAAGGGGTCTTTAAAGCTCCCAGCTGCTCCAGTGAGCACCGGCAGGCCCTTTAGCCATGTGGGGAGCAGGTAACTAGCACATGCTCTATAGGAACACTACATTAGGTGCTGCTATTTTTAGTGACAGGTATGTAAGTTCAAGTGCACAGCACATGGGTGTGCACACGCATGTGCAGGCCAGAGGTCAACCTCAGGTGTTGTTTCTTGGGAGCACCACCTTCGTCCAGAGCTTGCCAGTTGGGAGCACCACCTTCATCCAGAGCTTGTCCATTACTCTTGAGGCTGACTAGCCAGAGAGCTCCAGCAATCCACCTGTCTCTGTCTCCCCAGTGCCAGGGTACCAACCGAGCCCCACCGTGGGTGCTTAAGATCATGTTTGGGTCATCACAGGTGCAAGGCACATTTTACCATCTTAGCTATCTTCCCAGGCCTGTTTCTCTGGTTTGTTTGTTTGTTTGTTTTCTTCAATTCCTCTGTGGCTTCTTAATTCCCTTCTTATTTTTTAGATGGGAAATTGAAATTTAGAACTTCCAGGACAGCTAGGGCTACATAGAGAAGCCCTGTGTGGCAGGGGGCGGAGGGAATGCCTAAAGGGAAAGTGACTCTGGACATTAAGCATCTACTCTAAGAAAGGGAGTAGGGCCCAGTCAGCTATGTCACAGTTCCTGGGAGAAGGCAGGCATGTATAAATGTGGTGGGGGGAGACTGCGGGGACAGAATCGGTTCTTCTTTATCTTTTTATCCATTTTATTGTCAGATAGTTCATTATATAAATCTTCCAAAATAATGAGATATTACAAGAATAGTTTACAAGTCAGCTCTGATTGCACAAATACTTGACACAGGAAACTGTCTCACAAATACATAAGTTTTCTTACAAGAATACTTTAATAAAGAAAATAAGTCTCTATACGTCTTAAAGCAAATTTGATTCAGCTTCTTCTTCCCATCCTGCCATCATTCTGGATTCAATTCTATAGTATGTCTATTACATCCTGCAAAGCAAATTATACCCCAAGGCTGCTTCTCTTTCAGCTACTACTAAGATTCACAATGCTAAAGGGTTTTAGGCTTCCTTTTCTGATTTTCCCTGAAAGGAAAAGAATTCTCAAATTCAGACTGAAGAGGTAATTTTTAAACATTCCTTCCAAACTTGGGATGAGGTTAGTCACCATTCTGAGTGGCTGATCTTTTAGGCTCTGACTCAGGCTAGACCATCAGGCTAGCTGATGGTTTAAACCTGCAATATCAAATCAATAGCTGATACACCATACAGGGAACCCTGGGAGCAAGGATGAAATACAAGGACCGGGAAAATAGTGGAAATTGATCAGAGAACACTCTCAAATTCAAGGTCATTCCCAGCTTGGGTATGACAGGAGTAATATAAAATACTGAAGAACTGAAAAAGGCTAATTATTTAGGTCAGTGGTACCTCATCCGCAAAATGCCAGTGGATAGAGAATCTTAGAGAGACTCTGCATCCGGCTGAACTCCATAAGTGACATTCTTCTTATGCTGTGGCTTTAATATACACTTGTATACAGCCCCTTGCCCAGAGCAAGTGATGCTGTGATACTGTATGCCAGGGGAACAGAACACTGACCACATCTACCTGGAGATGGGACCCACCAGGGAGAACATGTGGCTTTCACACTGTCCTTCCACTATTACTGAAAAGTGGGTCCACTTGGCAAAGCATATTGTCTTTACATTTCAGGTAGCATGAATTAACATCAAGAAATTAGAGTGGCAATCTGCAGTCCAGTTCCTGAGAGCCTGGGAATAATATCCAACACCCTTCTGAAGATTCTTATCCAGCTCCAGTCCCACAAGCTTAAAAGCACTCGGGGACTGAGAGGGCATGTCCCATTCACTTGTCCTCTCGGTATTCCTTTTGGCTTTTTCCCCACCCCAGTGTAACAAACTGCCACAGGATCTTACCCAAGTGTGTAGCAGTAGACGGAAAGAGTTGTTTTGCATTACCAGACACGTCCCATCACATTATCAAGGGTCACATTTGCATATAACTAAAGCGCCAAATAACATCTACTGCAGTGACTTTGCGAATTCAGCATAGTCGATGTATCCATCATTGTTCTTGTCATCGTCTCTCAAAACGCCATCTATTATGTTAATCAGTTCGTCTTCACTCATTACTGGTGCCTGATCACTCCCCTCCTATGGGAAAGTAAATGAGATGATGAGGTACAGAATTACAAAGGTGCATGAGCAAATGCCTGAAAGGGTCATACTCAACTTATCTAGAAGCTGTCAAGGTAGTATGCGGCCACTTCTAGGAATCCAGACTCATACGTCAGATAGTGTCAATTTATAAAAACCCATATGAGAAATTACATATGCCAGTTACAAGAAAGATGTGATCACTGGGCAGTGGTGGACACGCCTTTAAACCCAGCACTTGGGAAACAGAGTCAGGCAGATCTCTGTGAGTTTGAGGCCAGCCTGGTCTACAGAGTGAGTTCCAGGACAGGCTCCCAAGCTACACAGAGAAACCCTGTCTCAAAAAACAAACAACAACAACAAAAAAAAAAAAGATGTAACCAAAACAGGGCTTTGCTTTTTTGCTTTAAAAAATTACTGTTTACTCTTTTTTGGTTATGAAAGTCATGTAGAGCCACTACAGAAAGCCAGGTCTGAGTTACAAAGAACTGTTAGCCAGAATCTATGACCCCCCCCCCACCCATTCTAAGAAAACTCTCACCACCTGAGCCCTCTGCACAAATCACCTAAGAAAACGGAAACAGTGACATACTGGACACCTCAGGGTCAGGACAGTAGGAAGAAAACCCTGCCAACCATTAGAATGCATGTTCCCTAAAGAGAAACCACTGTCCTGTTGTAGAAGCTGGGGTTGGAGGGCTTTGCCAGCTGCAAAGCTGCCATTCTCATGTTGGTCACATCATCTCTGGCTGCCACTGCCTTCTATGCTGGGACTGCTGGGCCCTAACTCCTCCCCAGGTACCAATCTCACCCCCACTCACCATCCCTAGCACACAGCATCCTCCCCAGGCAGTGCTCCAGTGAAAACTTGCTCGAGCTCCCCACTGCCTAAAGAGAACCCCACACTGAACCTGTGGTGGTCATCTTCTCTCTCTCTCTCTCTCTCTCTCTCTCTCTCTCTCTCTCTCTCTCTCTCCTCCCAGGCCCCTGTGGCACAGGGGGCAGACATTAAATTTGGAGGCACAAGATTTTGATGTCAATTCCCTCAGCTAGAAAAGGAGAGACAATGTCTGCCCCTCTCAGGGTAGCTATGGAGCCATCTTTACTTGAAGGTGCCTTGGGACACCAGGGAGTACCGCACAATATGGCATGACCCTAGCTACTCCCAAAGCTCTCTGTCCCTTGGCCCTGGAGACACCATTCTCCTCAAATGAAATAACCTCTTTCCTATGTTCTATGCTCTGCATCGTGAACCTGGTCTGTGTTTTTAGGCCGGACCCTCAAACTCCAGATGCTGTAGAAATGCTGAAGCCTTGGCCCAGGCTGGGCCTCCAGCTCAGCTTCTCTGGGGGAGGTGGGGAGAGACAGGCTAGCACTGAATGAAAAACATGGCAGCACTGCTGAGATACGAGCACAGCACCAGTTGCATAGACCGGGCACCACGCTACCCGGATACCCCGAGACTGAACTCCATGACCCACCTCCTTATGGACATGAGTGATGGCCGTGGACAGTTCTAAGCCATCAAGCAAATCGTTGCCATCATAATCATGCATTTTGAAATAGTGGAGCTGCAGTTCTTGAGGGGACATCTCTGTCTCTGGTTTGTCGATGACACCTTCTAGATGTTCCATGATATGCCTGAAAACCAACAGTCAGAACATGTGGACAAGTTCAGAAACAGACCACATTCAAGGGCACAACACACAGCCAGGGACACAAAGAGGCCAAACATGCAGGTCACCTGCTTCTCGGTGGGACCCAGGTGCCTTCTCTTTACTGTTAGAATTTGCTTACAATATTTTGAGCTACCAATTTTAAAACTAATTTTTTAAATAAAAATTAGAACAGACACAGTGGTGCATGCTTTTAATCCTATTCAGGAGACAGAGGCATATGGATCTCTGTTGAGTTCAAGGCCTGGTCTACACAGCAAGTTCCAGAGCAGCCAGGGGTACATATGGAGACCCTGTCTCCAAAAAAATGGATAACAAAGGATAATGTGTGAAGTTTACTTGCCAAGAAAGATTCAGTATCCGAATGTGTCACTAAGAATTTTGTCAGAATCGGGAAGCCATAATTATATTCTGGATTCTGCTACTACAGTAAAAGAGGAAGGCTAAATTCTGACAAATAATTCACTGTATTTAGGCTTCAAAATACTATGCCTGTGGGACGATGGAGACAAAATACCTTACAACTAGGAGTCCCAAGGGAAAAATGCTGTCCTTGAAAAATGTCCTGGAGCCCTATAAATTGGTTCAAAGGGAAAGAAGGTAAGGGGTGCCCTGTGGGCTAAAACTGCAGATGATGGGAGCCCAGAACCTTAGCCCCGGCTGAATACATACTCTTGGTCATGCACTGTGCTCTTGTCCAGGCCCACACTGCTGTGATGGCTGCCGGCCCCAGGCTCATGGGCCCTGGTACCTGGAGTACAAGAGGTCCAGAGCAGGGCACACAGGAAGGGAACTCTGAGCAGCCACAGGGATGCCATGGTTATCAGTACCTGGGAGGTGGAAAACACACAAGATAAAGGCAGAGCCCTAGAGCTCAGGTTCCTTCCAATAGCTGACAGTATATGCTCCAGGGAAACCAGGGAGGTGGCAAGGCTGCTCACAAGAGCACTTCAAACTGGCTCAGCTGTGGGACTGGAGATGGAGCTCAGTGGTAGGGCACTTGTCCAGCATGCACCAGGCCCTGGGTTCCATTCCCAGGACCACAGAAAATGTCCAGCTCTGCCACTAGCTCTCCTGGTTCCCATCACTCAGCTGGACAGTGGAGGTCCACAGTGTTTCCTGTTGGAACATTAGAGGGCTGAGCAGTCACATGAGAGCATGAAAGGATCCGAGGACAGGTCCTACCTATAAGCCCACAGCCCACGGAGAGACACACTTCCTACTGGAGTATAACAAAAACAGAATGAGGGATTTTTCAAAAAAGAAAAACCCTTTGGGAGTTCTGAAACAAAAAATCTCCTTGGGTGAAGGAATATTGGAGGAGGCGGACTGATAGCAGGCCTGGACAGACAGCAGGCATGCAGGGTCTGGGGGAATGACAGCAGCCACATGTAGCAGGTGCAGGCAGTAAGCTTGGTCTCAGGGTAGACAGCAAGAACAGTGGCAGGTACAAAGGTGAACAGAGTGTACATGCTGAGCCAAGAGGCTGACATTTCCTGAGAACAAGAGATGAGATCACAAGCTGGCTTGGCTGACTCAGCCGCTGGTTTGATGGAAAGGGATGGAGCGAGGCAGGACTGGAGACAGGGCCATGGGAGCTGAGGGAAGGAAGCCATTGGGCTGGTCACAATAACCTCAAAGCAACCCCACCTTGTCCACTTGCCAGGGTCTGGAGGGGGAATCATAACATGCTGAGAGCATTGGAAAGGGAAGTTAAAGAGAAGCCCAGATTACATCTTTTAAAAATTTTATTAATTTATTTTTTCCAATTCCAGTTCCCCTTCCCTCCTCTCCTCCTACCCCCCCACTCACCCACACACACCTCCCAACTGCTCCTTGGAGAGGGTAAGGCCTCCCCTAGGAAGTCTAAGTCTGTCCCATCATCTCCTTGTAGCAGGACCAAGCCCCACCCCACCCCCCAACCTAGGCTGAGCAAGGATTCAGATTACATCTTAACGACACTTGGAACAACAAGTGGATCAACCAGACAATTAGGCCACATGGCAAGCTCTCTGAAGACCAACTTAGGTCATCACAGGTATTGGCACCCGTGCTTCAATAACTGCTGCTTCAATGTGAAGTCTTGTCCTTCCTTGTGAAGGCTTAGATTGGTGACTCACCCCAAAATGGAAGGTGAAAGACAGGACCTCAAACCTTGTGTTCGCATCTCAAAAGGCAAAGCCAATTCCTCCATGACTAACAGTGGCAGGACCCCAAACCGTCAGCAGTAAAGATTAAGGGTAATGTTCAGATGCCCCCTTAACACTCCATAAACTCTCAAGCTTCGATGTCTCCTCCTTGTAGCAGGGGCTGGGAAGCAGTGGCACTGTGGTCCTTCACCCATCCTAAATGCTCTCAGAGAGGACCTGGGAGAGTATGCCATCCTATGACATTTACAGAGATTTCCCCAATCTATTTTGCCCACCTCCCACCATATGTCCCGTGAAGGAACAGCAACCACTGGGAGGGATAACATTTAGGGTGCAAAACAGCGGTGTCCAGGCTGACTACTGGATGGTGGCATCATGACATCTGTCGTTCTGCCTAAGATTTCTTTTGTTTGTTTGTTTTTGTTTTGTTTTGTTTTGTTTCGAGACAGGGTTTCTCTGTGTAGCTTTGGAGCCTATCCTGGCACTAGCTCTGGAGACCAGGCTGGCCTCGAACTCACAGCGATCTGCCTGCCTCTGCCTCCCGAGTGCTGGGATTAAAGGCATGCACCACCAATGCCCGGCTCTGCCTAAGATTTCTAATACTGATTAAATAAAAAAGCAGTTGCCAAAAGTCTACCCATAATTCAGTTGTAAAATAAATATATATGAACACACAAGTACACTGTTTTAATGAACTGTTAAATTATGGTTCTTTTTATTTTGCTACAATTTCAAAATGTGTACTGTGACTAGGCATGGTGGTACACCCCTTTAAACCCAGGACTTAGGAAGCAGTGGCTGATGAATCTCTGTGAATTGGAGGCCAGCCTGGTCTACACATTGAGAGTGTGTGGAGGCAGGGTTGGTTTCAGGTGACTTCCTTAATTGCTCTCTACATTATATATTGAGGCAGGCTCTCTCACTGAGGCCCAAGCTTGCTGACTCAGCTAGTCTAGCTAGCAAGCTTGCCTATTCCCCATCTCTGCCTCCCAAGCACGGAGATCACAGGCGGCTGCCACATACACCTGGCATTAATGTGGGTGCTGGGTATTTAAACACCAGTCCTTAAGCTGCAAGCAGTTTACACACTGGACCATCTCCCCAGCCTGTATCCAAGTTCTCACTTCAGTGTGATTGAGGGTAGAACTTCGGGAAGCTGTCTACTGGACAGAAAATTGAATTGGGTGATCACTGAATCCATGGAGATCTTTCCTCCACCACCATGGCTAGATCCAGTTGGGATGTATATCTATCTATGAGGATGTTTTCTAATCAGGTAATACCAAAGAGTAACCAAGTGATTAATAAGCACAGAACTGTGAGTCCAGGTTATCCTCTCTTCAAGGGACACAGAAAAGAAAAAAAAAAAAAAAAAAAAAAAAAAAAAAAAAAAAAAAAAAGCACTGTAGACTGAAGTTCCTGTCCTGTCCAGCCCCTCAATCGTAGTTCCAAAAAAACACACAGAGGCTTATATTAATTATAAACTGTTTGGCCAATAGCTCAGGCTTCTTATTGGCCAGCTCTCTCTTAATTATTGACCCACTTCTATTAATCTGTGTATCTCCACTACCTCTTGGCTCACCAGTGATGCCAGGGTCTCTCGCTTTCTCAGCAGCTACATTCGACTCACTCCCTGCATTCCTCTTCCCAGAATTCTCCTATCCTAGTCTGGTAGCCCCACCTACACTTCCTGCCTGGCTACACCATGCCTGTCCATTGGCCGAAACAGCTTTATTCATTAACCAATAAGAGAAACATATATTCACAGCATACAGAAAGACATCCCCAGCAAAGAACCACTGAGCACACTGTCACAGGTTCCAAACCAGAAGGAAGATTCCACAAGCACTATAATGACAAAAGGTAATGACTGCCACCTGTCAAATTAAACTGCTCCCAGTCAAAGAAAACAGAGTGCAAAGAACAAGTTGCATCATCTACACTCCCATTACTTACTCCAAGGCCATGGGCACACAGCTTGGAAGAGAAGCCCCAAGAGCTCTCAAGCTCACTGGCCTTCAGGAAATTGCATTGGCCAAGGCAGAGAAAAATCCAGGTGAGGAGAGACTGATTGACTCTCCTAAAGACAGGCAGGCACCCATGTGTAGTGTTGTGGAATATTAGTTTAAGATGTGTTACATTCGTTTATGCTGTGGGATATTTAATGATGCAAAAATGTGTTGCATTCTTTTTTGTTACATTTGTTTAACTCTGTAAAGCTGTGTTACTTTGCCTGCCTAAAACACCACTGGTCTAATAAAGAGATGAACTGCCAATCGTTGGGCAGGAGAGAGAAACAGGTGGGGCTGGTGGGCAAAGAATAAATAGGAGGAGAAATCTAAGGAAGAGTGAGGAGAAAAGGGGGATAGGAGGACGCCAGGGGCCAGCCACTCAGCCAGCCCCAGAGTAAGAAGGAAAGAAAAATATATAGGATAAAGAAAGGGAAGAAGCCCAGAGGCAAAACATAGTTAAAGAGAAATGGGATAATTTAAGTTAGAAAAGCTGGCTAGAAATAAGTCAAGCTAAGGTCAAGCACTCATAAGTAAGAATAAGTCTCTGTGTATTTATTTGGGAGCTGGGTGGTGGGCCCCCAAAGAGTGAAAAACAAATCAAAACAAAAACTACAGCATAGAGCCTTACTTTGATGTGCCTGCAATCTTGGAAACATGACTATCCCATGTTCTCCTATAAATGATTCATTTATAGGCTAGCACAACTACTTACATACTCTTAACTATTCTTCATTTTGGGGAAGACCATCTTCAACAGAACGTTCAGGTTTGGGAGAGACCAAAATGCAGCAGTAAAGGAGGAAACAGATATTGCTAAGTCCACCAGATCAGCCCCATTAACCCGAAGACCAGTGGGGTGGCACTACAGCCAGATCACCCTCCCATCCAGAGGGGGCTTTGGAAAATGATCCGAGCCTTAGCATCCGTCACCAGGAGCAGCATGAGTCTGGCAGGACAATGCTGGCCTCCCTCAGAGTCTTGACTCCAAGAGGTTCCCCTCACTTCTCCTTCGGCCTCTGTTCCCACTGACTGCATCTGGTCACTCCTCCTAGGCCTGGTTCAAATGTGACCCAAAGACTCTGGCAGCTAACACCGCCTACTTCCTAGTCTGTTTTCTTCCTTCCTATTTTTCTTTTTCCCCTTTCCAAAGTCCAGGACGTTGAGTACTGAACAATGCTGAGCTGGCCTAGGGACAGCATGGCCAGAATAGGATGAGATGTGGCACAACAATGTGTCAGTCTTTATCTCTGACCTAAGGCTGAACTCTCCTTTGGAGCATTCCCACTCCTGAGAAGGCCCTGGCCCACCCTTCCCTCCAATTGTGTCATTATTCCTATGGTAAGTGAGTTTTCCCCCTAACAGCTGTTGGCAGCCTTTTCTAAGTTCAGGGGCTCTTAGTTAAGAATTTACATTCAAGCAGCCACATTTCACAACATCCAGATATCCTGTACCCAGAGTCAATGCCAAAGAAAACCGGCCAGCGCTTCTTACTTTGCCAATTCCAGGGTCTTGCAGTAAAAGGAACCAGTAAGTCTCCAGGTTAAAGAAACCTCTACATGGGCTGGGGTTGAAAAATTTGTCCTGAACAGGCTGGCATTTAATAGTGTGATCCATCTGTTCTCTGGAGGAAGCCAAAGAAAAGCCACACTGCCCTTATACGTTTAACCAACAGCCTAGTAAGAGAAAGAGC